ACTACAAAAATGAAAAAAAAATTTAAGCTAGCTTCTCATAAATATTATTTACATTTAAGACAATTCTAATTAAAAATCAAATTTCTTCCTTAAATTTAGATTAAATTATGTTAAAAGTATTGAGAAAGAAAGACTCCTCAAGAATAACCAAGATAATTATGCAAAGAGAAGGTATTGTCTTCTCAGATGTCAATACCAGCTATAATCTAGGCTGGTTAATATACCACTATGGACTAACCATAATTCATTTAGCCATTCCCCTGATGATGGCTAATCATAGCTAAAATCAGTAAACATCCTTGTACATGTGTCCCACATACTGGTACCTATATTCCTATGGGACAGAAACTTAGGATCAGTGTTTGCCGATTGCCATTCTTCTGTGAACTTAGCTGGGATAAGTAAAGGCTTTATTCTTGCACCATTGGCTGATGCCAACATTGTACCTCTTCCATTTCTTGCACAGTTTTTCTTTCTTTCTTTCTTTCTTTCTTTCTTTCTTTCTTTCTTTCTTTCTTTCTTTCTTTCTTTCTTCCTTTGTGAAGAGTATTCAATGAATTTTCATAAGATGAACATAAATAGGTATCCACATTGGATAAAGGAACAATCCTTTAAAATTTAGAAAGATTCCAGATTCAGGAAGGTTTTAAGAATTGAGAGAATTGAGTCTAAACTCTTCTCATGTTTGGAGATTTTTAGAAAGTTCTTCAAAACAGGAAAATTGTGAATAGCCTTTAAAACATAGACTATCAACACATTTGTTTAGCTCACTCCCAAAGCTCTTGTATTCTTGTACATAATATTTTTAAATATTATTCTGAGATATTTCAATCTTACATAAAAGAATAATAAATAAAAGAACTATTACCCATGTATTGACTACCCAGCTTTGTCAAATCTTAGCTGTATGCCATATTTGCTTTAGAATTGTAAAGTCAAACATTTTAAATAAGTACCCCCTGGGTACTGCTTTCTACTCTCATTTCTCTCCCTCCTTCCCTCTCTTATCCAAAGGGAATCATTACTCAGAAATCAGAGTTTATAATTTCCATGCAACTTATGTGAATTTTTAGTACATTTATATATAGTAAATAATATTTACAATACTCCTTCATGTTTTTTTACTTTATAAAAATAATCTCATACTACATGTTTTTCTTCTACCTGTCTCTTTAGAAAGTACTATTTCTGAAATTTATCAGGTTGATACCTGTAACTTTATCTAGTTGAAAAGCTATTCAGTATTGTGCACATGAAATGTATCCATCCTCTATTAAATGCACATTTCTATTGTTTCCAACTTTTTCCTATTATAAGAAATAATGCAATACACCATTCTTAAACCTGTGGCTAGGTGGGAAAGTCTTCTAGTAGTAGTTTTCAAAGAGTGGCTCAGAGTGGCCTAGAGGTTTCTGAGACCAGTTTAGGAGAGCTCCTAGTCTAAAATTATTTTCATAACAATGACATTATTTGACTTTTGCCTTCTCATTCTCTCTTAAACATACAGCAGAGTGTTTCAGAGACTGCCTGGTATGTATTATCAAAACAGATTGAATGTGGAAGCAGATAAGAGAATCCAGCTGTCTCCTATGAAGCCAGATATTAGAATAATTTGAAAAATACAAAATAGTGTCACTTTCATACTGATTTTTTTAAATTCTGATGAATAGAGGGTTTTTTTTGTAAAATATGGTATTTAGGTTAAGTAATGAGTTGTTGCTTTTAAGTGAATGAATAAATATTTTAAAATTTCTTGGTTTTAATTTCTAATTTAGTAAATGTAACAGACAAAAATGAAAGGAATTTGGTTCTCAATAACTATAAAGAATAGTGAATTATTGAACACTGCAACAAAAACTTATGATGTACTATATGCTGGTTAACTGAACATAACAAAAAAATAAAATTAAATTAATAAAAATAAAGTATGCTGACATTAAAAAATAAAAAAAGAAGAAGAACTTAAAGGAGTTCCAACAGCAAAATGTTTTTGTATGTGGGGAGGGGTTGGTGTACATATGTCTTCATTTCTCTTGGGTAAATACATACAAGTGGAATTTTCGGGTCAGGGATAGATGTATGTTAATCTTTAAATAAATTGTCCCATTGTTTTTCAAAGTGGTTATTTGGTTTTACACTCCCTCCAGCTATTTATGAGAGTTCCAGTTCGTCCACATCCTTGTCAAGTTCGCTTTTTAAATTTGTCTTTTTAATTTTAGTCATTCCAGTGGCTCTGAAATGATAACTTATGGTGGTTTTAATTTGAGGGATATCATTTTAGAGACCCTTTGTCTGGGTAAAATATGACATAGCTTTTTAAAAATGCAAAGATCCCAGGGAAAGTGTTACAGAAGGATCAACTCTGGTCTGTTCTCCTTGCTGAGAATGATTTATCAGGTTATTATCCTAAATGACAAATAATGACTCTATGGCCATACTACCCTGAATGTACCCAATGTCATATAAATGACAAATAATGAGAATAAAGGCAACCAGGTGATTGCCAAGGTGGGAGGGGTTGACCATTGACGAAATATGCACCAGAAAATATAGTACCTTCCTATCATATCAACAGAGAGCATCACTTTGGCTAAGGCTAAATTTTCATGCGTGGATGTTCTAAATAGGAACATTAGTCTGGTTGTATGGTAAAGAGGATGCCAGTGGGGCACAAAAGACTCAAGACTGGAACCTAGCAGCATAGTGCAAGTGCACTAGACAAAGGATCCAGGGGACTTGAGGTCGATTACTTATTTTAATAAGATTAAAATAATGGCTTAGAGTGCCATTGATCTCCTATTAACTTGATCCCAATCAAGTTAACATTTCCTATCCCTATGTGCAATGGTCCCAGGAGGCTAGAAGATTGCAGACCCTTGGGCAGTGTGAAGTGTGAAGTGTAAAGTGTGAAGTGCAAGTTTGATGATGGCATTGAGTGCTTCAGGGCTGGCATGTGGGAGACAGCAAGTTTTCTGAAGGCAGGTGTGGCCAAGACTGGCTAACTCCTTCCTAAACCCGTTTGCTTTTCCTCCTGGCCAGAGTTAGACCACATTTCTCACATTTCTCATTACAATTACCTGTGGCCAAGTGACTAAGCTCTGACCAGTGGAATGGGAGCACATATTGTCATGCCACTTCCATGCTTAGTTCATGGAGAACTACTGCTGATATAATTCTTGACTTTCTTTCCCCTCATCAGCTGGTCTGTTGAAGAGAACACAGTGGAGGCCCCTGACACTCCACTATATGACAGAGGGTCAAGAGGGAAGTAGCCCAAGACCCAAGTTCTATACTCAAATTTACATGAGCAAGAAAGAAACTTTTATTAGTTAATTCAATGACACCTTGTCATTGTTCATTCCAGCATCCCTCCTACCCTCACTAATACAGCAGGCACTACTTATACCTTTCTGCAGACCTGCCAGAGATTTAAACTGGTGCCTCTTGGGTGATCAGTAAATACTTGTTGAATTGGTCATCAAGGAATAAACAAGTAATTGATTAGAAAAAACAGTATGCATTGAAGAGTGGACATATAAAGAAAACGTGTGTTGCTTTCTTTATTAGATTGGTCAGGCCTGGCCCATGGTAGAAGTAATTTTAATTTCCTTTCCCACTGGGTTTTAAAATTTTCTGCTCTCTCATGGGCCTATTAAGAGCTGAGAAAGCTGGAGAAGGTGACATCCAAAGGTTATTTATTAGCAGTCTGTTATTTCTCTCTTCAAGTCCAATTCCTCTCCTCTCCTTTAGAAGATTTTATTGCTATAAAGAGTGGCATCTGGTACCAAAAAAAAAAAAAAAAAAAGTAAAGAAGAAATCAAACCCAAAACTAAGCAAAATAATAATTAGGTTAAAAATATTTCCTGGGGTTTAGCTGAATCTGGGAAGGAATATCTTTAGCAGTCTAAACATCAAAGACAGAATGAATTTTGCAAAGTGCTGTACAGACTAACCCTACTTATTTACTGGTTCTCACCTCCTTAATAATCCACAAACTGAATACTTCTCACAGAAAACCCAGCAGTGTCACCTTACTTCTCCACCAAGATTTCATAGCCAAGAGCTGTAATGAGGTCTCCTGCAAGGGCAACCCCCATTATGTTTACCAAATATGTTATAGTATCTTTACTAAGAGTCTTGTCAACAGTGTGTGTCTCTCTGGGCACATTTTGCAGGGTGAGTCAGTAAACTTACATCATTTTTTTTTTTTTCAATTAATCCTCCCTCCCAAGAAATGTGCTATTCTGTACTGAGCTTTCTTGTCGTTGGTGTCAATTATCTGATTTTTACTGTTTCCAAAAGTATTTTGCATATTCACAAAATGTTATCATTCAAATGTACACTATTAACCCAGAGTGGGTTTCAAGCCAAAAGTAATTATTTCTGTTTCAGATAAATCAATTAGAATTAGAGTAGGGACTATATGGTGGTTTTGTCATATTACTTCTGGAGAAGCATAGGCAATATACATAATTATGGGCTGAAAATTATGTTAGCTCCTTTACAAAGTTATACATATTCTGACTCACCTGAGTAACAGTAAGCTAGTCCTAGTACACAGGGATAAAGGCACATCTAGCACTGAGAAAATTCAATATGAAAAGTCAAGCTTATGAAGGATTTTGATGATGGGGCAATTGTTTACATTACAAATTAGTTATTTGCTTCATAGGCCTTGCCAATTTGTTAGTTATTTGACCAAACTGGTTAAAAGGCAAGCTTAAAGCATGAGTCAGAAACCTTCTGTTAAAAAAAAAAAAAAGTAATAAATATTTTAGGCTCTGTAGACCATAGGGTTTCTATCACAACTATTCAATTCTGTTTCTGTAGTGTATGTATGGAGCAAAATCAGCCATAGATAATAAATAAATGAACAAGTATGGTTGTGGACCCCAATAAAACTTCATTTGTGGATGTTAATTTGAATTTCATATAGTTTTATTATGTCATAAAATAGTCTTTTTATGGTTTCTGTTGTTGTTGTTTTGTTTTTGTTTTAGCTTCTGGGCCATACAAAATCAGGGGATGGCTGGATTTGGCACGTGGATTATAATTTGCCACCCCTGATTGAAAGTATTGTGAGCAAGTCTCCATTGACAGAATGAAAGCAGGATGAGATGAAGATAAGATGCTTGATATCACAGTGTGTAAGGAAAAATAGGAATCGACGTACACACTTAGTTTGGAATTGAACATTCAGGGGCACCTGGATGGCTCAGTTGGTTAAGCATCTGCCTTCATCTCAGGTCATGATCCCAGGGTCCTGGCATCGAGCCCTGTTTCTGGTTCCTTGATCAGCAGGGAACCTGCTTCTCTCTCTCCCTCCGTGGCTTCCTCATCTGTGCTCTCTCTCTCCCTTTCCCTGTTAAATAAATAAATAAAATCTTTACTTAAAAAAAAAAAAACAAACCTGCCTCTCTGACTACTTGTGATCTCTGTAAAATAAATAAATAAAATCTTTAAAATACAAAACAAAACAAAACAAAAAAACCAAAAAACAAAACCAGAATTGAGCATTAAGTGTTGCAAGGGGCTTTGGTGGTGTGGTACTGGGTGAGGAAACAGGCAGAAAGCGGTGTTTCTCACCAGCTCCAGGGTGCATGGAGGCTGGGCTGACTTGGCCTGCAAGAGAACTCGAGTTAAAGCTCTTTCAATGCACCTCTGTCTTGTCTTTTTTAAATTTGCTCTGAGCTCATGCTGAGGAGTAGATGGGATTTTGAATACTTTCAGCCTCATCATTTTCCAACTTCCCTGTCCACTTTGGCAGTATAATTTTTAGTCACGGGTGACTCAAAACACATAAATAGATTACCAGGTCTCACCTCCACGGATTCTGACTCTGGTGGGATGGGAGCCTATGAAATCCGCATTTTAAACAAATCATCCAGAATGTTTTGATAGGGGTCTTACAGCTGGTGGGCAAAATACTGATTACTCTCTTTTCTAGTCCAAGTCTGGCTTTTGTCTTTTCTTAGACCATTTTTCATCTGCAGTTCCTCCTCATTTCCTAGTCTTAAACACTCAGCTGTGGCCTGGGTCTGGCCTCTCTGGGGGGGACAGCTTATGGAACAGAAGCTCAATGTGTCCTTATCCTCCACTGCAGCCAAAGTAATCTTTTCAGAATTCCATACTGGCCCATGTTGATACCTTGCTAAATCCTCCTTTGCTTTTCCTTTGCATTTGGAATCAAGGTAAACTCTTCAACAAGGCCTGCTTAGTTTGGTTCCTCAAGCCCTCTACATTTTCATCCTAACCTCCATCCCAGTTGTGCTGGCTCCCTTTTCCTCCCATATCCTCTTCATGCCTCTTCCTACTGCAGGGCCTTTGTACTTTGCCTGTTCCACTGTGCCTTCTCCTGCTCTTGGTTGATGTCTACATGGGCTTTATTTCACTTTATTATTATTTTTTTTACATATTTATTAACTTTTTTTTTTTTTAATTTCTTTTCAGTGTTCCAGAATTCATTGTTCATACACCACACCCAAGTGACATTTCCTCATGAAAGCTCTTTCTGACCTTGGCAACTATAAATGTGGCACTAGTCCTGGGGTCAATTTTACACTTGGGTTTTGGGGGAGTTATTTTGTGATTATTTGACAAAGGTCTGTCTCTCCCACGAGACTGCAAGCTTCTTGAGGACAAAGCTCAAGTTAATACTTGGCTCCCATGTGTATCTCCCAATGCGCAGCATTTTTCCTGGGTCAACAGTCATTTATTGAGTGAATGAACATTGGATGAATGAATGAGAGAAAACTGTGGCTTATGTGTTATGCTCCAGGCAATCTGAAAAATTGAGTAAGTGTTCTGCAACTATGATAGACACTAACCTTTCCATAGGAAGCTAACAGTGAGACATCTGAGAGGACTTCATGCCATCCTGCTGCACCTTGAATATAAGGAGGTTGGTCCCCAAACTAGAATGGTGCCAGAGTTGATAAAAGCACCATTGCCAATGTCAGTGAAAGGGGCTGGGCAATGACCCCAACCATAGTAGGCAAATACAGAGGAGAACACGAGTAAAGGAGGAAGAATTTCTTGAGAATGAGAATAATAATAAAATGAAGGTTACCAAATGCCAAAGAGAAGAAAGAGAATGAGGTAGCCCAAACTTTATGCATCAAATTTGTATCACAGGTGATATTGATTGATACATACATTTTTGGCCAGTCAAGTGTAGAGCTCTGGCCACACTAGACCAAACTGTACTAGGGAAAATCAAATGATGACAAGGCCTGTCATCTTCGTGAATGTCTGATTCTAGATTTTCAACTTTTGACAAATACATATTTTTATAGTTTTGATATGTAAGTTATTAGTATAAGCTCTAAAAACATCTTTTAACTCATTTGTTTTAACTCATTTGTTAACTCATTGTCATTAAGCTTATGTGACTGCTATGGAAATGTAATCTATTTCTTTTAACAAACCATAGTCTTGAATGTCATCTAGTGAACCAAATATAGTCAAAGTTATATTTGACACAATTTTTGTCTTTTATATTTTTAGTAAAGAAATCAGTTCATTTTCTTAACATTTAGCACATAGTAGGTACTCAATAATGTTTATTGAATGCATATTTAAAAATTATGTTGTTTGCTTATGAACAGAAAATAATCCTTTAGCTGGAGCTTAAACTTCCATTTAACAAACTCAGAGAAGCATGTGTGTGGGAACAAAACCTCTAAAGTTCCTGTTTCATTCTCTTATCCCATATCATTTTTTTTTCTAAATTGTTCCCAAAGGGAGCTACCGATACTGTCTTGAATAATTTTTAGGTTTAATGATGCCACAGTCTCCCAGTGTCAGTGAGCTTTCCCTATGTAGCAAACCATGGCAAACCTGGCAGCTTGAAACCACAGTATTGATTAGTTTATACTTCAGCGAGTTAGCCATCTGGCCAGGGCTCAGCTGGGTGATTCTTCTGGACTTACGTACCTGCAGTACAAAGTACGAGTACTGGTGAGCTAGATGGTTGCCTCCTGAATTGGCTGGCTGTCCCCTGGGGCAGGAGAAGCACTCTCATCCTCCAACAGGCTAGCCTAGGTGAACTGGACCTCTTTCCAAACCATCACTTCCACTACATTCTATTTGCCAAAGCAAGCCACAGGGCCACCCTAGAACCACTAGCTGGGACGGTAGGCTACCTCTTGATGGCAGGAGTTGTAAAGCCATCTCACAAGTCCACCGATACAAGGAAAGGTCCTGGGCTCTGGTCATTTCTGTAATCTGCAACAGTCCCCAAGAACACCTCTTCTCCATTATTAGGACTGTGTCTCTACACTGGATCAAAATCATGTTTCAGCTCATTACCAGTTGGTGCTAGTCTTTGTTCTATAAAGAACCATAGTCACTATCTTCCATACAATAGTTTTCCCTCAAGTAAATAGCATTAATTTGCTCTTGAACTCTCTTTTATCATTAAAAGTATATTTGATACTTTTTGGTTGGGAAATAGACACTTGACAAAGAAAGATAGTTCCATTTACTAGATACCTTCCAATCCTTGGAATGCTCACAACATCTGAGAATAAATCTTAGCTTTGTCACTTACTTATGCTAAATAATTATGGTGATAAGTATAACAGCAATAACAAGAGCTAATGTTTAGCTAGCACATAATAGTAGCAGACAATGTTCTTTTTTAAAAGATTTTATTTATTTGAGAGAGAGCATGAGCAGGGTGAGGGGCAGAGGGAGAAGCAGACTCCCCACTGAGCAGGGAACCCAATGCTATGTGGGGCTCCACCCCAGGATCCTGGGATCATGACCTGAGCCAAAGGCAGACACTTAACTGGCTGAGCCACCCAGGCGTTCCCCTACAGGAACTGTTCTAAGTGCTTTACATTTAATCCTGACAATAAACAATCCCCTGAGGCAGGTCCTAGAATTATCATTCCCATTGTATAGATGAGGAAGGTGCAGCTCAGAAGTGTGAAGTCAAGTTTACACGGTCAGACAGAAGCAGAATAGAAATTTGCCTGCAGGTAGCCTGGTGTCAGAGCCCATGTTCTGAACCACTACAAAGTACTGTCTCCTGTGTGACTCCGTATAAGTCACCCAACCTCTCTGAACCCACATTCCCACATCAGCAAAGTGATAATGGTAATGCCTGCCCACAGATGTGTGGTGACACTCAAATGAGCCGGTGTACCTGAAATATCTTGGGGGAGCTGCAAATCACTGTAAAAATGTAAGACATTGTCATTTTTATTATTAACCCGACACAGTCATGTGCTTCACTAAGATCTCGAGAAGTCCAAAGAATGCACGATTGTTATTATGGTTCCTATGTGCTATTTAAATAAAGAAATGGATGGTGTCTGTTTAAATGCAAATCAGTCTGCAGTGTTAACGAAGTCGACATCAGTGTGATTTTGGGTTAACTATTCTGGTGTGAGGTCTTATTTTTCCACCAAATGCCCTCCCCATCGTCTTTTTCCGAAGAGGAAGACAACTTCGCTTGAGAAACCTGAGGGAGGAATAGAAAACTCCCCTCCCCTTGAAGGCTGCGCACAACTTCCTTGTTTTGCTGGAAATTATAGGGCCAAACTTATGCACATTTCCCCCAACAAATATTTTCTAATTTCTATGTCTTCATGGTCGCAAACCCAATTTACAGCACCAGGCATGCAATGTGTTATTTTTGGAGCACTGCTGTATACACTGGAAAAAATTTGCACATGAGGGCAAAATAGAACAGACAATTGCTTTTGGGGACTGCACAGATTAGTACATCATTGCATATTAACAAAGTGCTAATTGCTCCTTTTGACCATGGGCCCAGTTTACAAAGCTTTTGCACAAATGTGCTCTGTGCACTAAATTACAAAGCTAACACTGCATTATTTCTCAGTACAGCTTGCAAATTCTTGTAGAACAGTATGCATTAGCATTAATTAAACCAGAGAGAGAGAGAGAGAGAGAGAAAGATAAAAGAGAGAGAGAGAGGGAGAATGAGAGAGATATCGTGCACAAGCACTAGAGAGAGGGAGATACTCATAATTTGGAAAGAACAGACCGGATGCTAATTACTCGTTACAAATGTTGCACTTGTTCTGGGATGATATTAGTAAAAGCAAACAGCGTCTATTCTCCAGGCTTGCGTCTGGGAAACACAGTTTCAGGTCTGCAGTAAAGTTGAAAATTTGTGGTTAATAGCTAAAATAATAGTAGTAGAAGTAGTAATAGTAGGAGTGATAGCTGACATTTATTACTTACATTTAGGAAGTCGACAGCACTTTGCAGCAGGCCCTATTCA